GGAAGAATGACCTGAGCCAGACACTTGTCCACGATGGCCAGAAGACCAAGTTGAACCAGACCTGTGTTGCTCATAACCAGAAGTTGGACCTGAGCTAGACTCATGTTGACCATAGCTAGAAGACTGACCTGCACTAGATCCATGTTGGCCACAGCTAGATGAGTTTCCTGATCCAAACTCATGTTGGCTATGGCTGGAATAATGACCTGCACCAGACCTGTGTTGTTCATAGCTAGAAGACTGTCCTGAGTTAGATCCTTGTTGGCCACAACTAGATGATTGTCCTGAACCATGTTGGCTATGGCTGGAATTATGACGTGCACCAGACCCATGTCTAGTATGACTAGAAGACTGACCTGAGCTAGTTTGGCTATGTTGACCATAGCCAAAAGACTGACCTGAGTTAGATCCTTGTTGGCCACAGCTAGATGACTGTCCTGAACCAGACCCCTGTTGACTGTGGCTGGAAGAAAGACCTGAGCCAGAACCATATCCATGATGTCCAGAAGACCAACTTGAACCAGACGATTGTCCTGAACCAAAACCATGTTGACTATGGCTAGGAGAATGAAATGAGTTAGATCCTTGTTGGCTATGACCTGTGCTGGATCCTTGTTGATTACAGCTAGATGACTGTCCTGAACCAGACTCATATTGACCATAGGTAGAAGACTGACTTGGGTGAGATCCTTGTTGGCTACAGTTAGATGACTGACTTGATCCAGACCCATGTCTACTATGCCTTGATGATTGATTTGAGCCAGATCTGTGCTGCTCATAGGTAGAAGACTGTGGTGATCCATACCCATGTTGTCCATAACTAGAAGACTGACCTGAGCCAGACCCATGTACACTAGAAGATTGATTAGAACCAGATTCAAATTTTCCATAATTAGAGGATTGTCTTGATCTAGAGCCATGCTTTTGTTTTCCACAATTCCCTGAAAGACCACCTGAGTTGGATTCATACTGTTTTGGTCTAGAAGAATGGCTTGAACCTGAACTATATTGTCCAGAGCTAGAAGGCTGTCCACATCCATGCTCTTGGTGGCCATGATGAGAAGATTGTCCTGATTCAGATCCAGACTCTTCATAGCTTGAGGACTGTCCTGATTCCAAACCTGAATGTTTTTGTTGTTTGTTGTGTCCACTTGCGCTGGATTCATGACTTGAAGAATTATTAGAACTGGGTCCATGTTTTCCATAATTTGAAGATTGACCTGAAGTAGACCCAGATTGTTCAAAAGCTGAGGATTTGCCTGAGGTAGATCCATGTTTTTCTTTTCTCCAACTCCCACTTGAGCTGGATCCACATTTTCTCTGACTAGAAGACCCACGTGAACTTGACCTATGTTTTCCATAGCTGGAGGACTCACTTGAACTAGAATGATATCCTGGTTCTTCACTGTTTCCTGATTGATATCCAGCATTTGGTTCATGCCATCTCTGTTGGCCACAGCCAGTGGACTCATTTGAATTTGACCAATGATCTTGTCCTCCAGAACTACCTGAGCTACATCCATGATGCTGCTTACTTGGAGACTGGCCTGACCTCTCTCTGTGTTGCTTATTCCCTAAAGAATCATTTGAATCAGACCAGTGGTGATCAGAACTGAAAGATTGATCTTCTGAATGGCATATATGCCCATGCTCTCCACAACTGTGTGACCCATTTGCTGAGTTTGATCTCATTCTGCATTTGCTTGAATGAATGTCATCATCTTCTCCACTGTCAGATCTTTCTGACTGATAAGTGCCATGCTTGTTTTTCCCAGTACCCTTGGAGTATCCTGAACTTGACTCTCTCCTTTCCCAAGAGCTTTGCCTGTGCTCAGAAGTAGACAATCCTCCTTGATTTTCCAGTCTTCTGGAGCTGGGTGCAGTCTTTTGTTTAATGCTTCTTATCCAGCCCCTGGAATAGGAGTTGTTCTCTTCCTCTGAACTCCAACTTGAATGACTGAAAGACGATCCTTGACCTTTCTCCTCTTCTGTTTCACTCTGTTCCTCTTGGTACTGGTATCTGTGGTTTTTCTGCTTTGACCCTGAAGCTTGGCAGTGATCTTTGCCGATGATTTTATTACAAGCCTGAGCCAGCTTGAATATCATCACAAGATACTCAGTAAAATCCACTTTCTTATTACGATCTTGATCCAGGCTTAGCATGATGACATCTACAGTGTCTGGATCATCTGGATTCTGTATACGAACAAGATACAAAAGGCAGTTCTGTAAATATGGCTCCCACACTCAGGTAATTAATGGAAGAATGGATGTAGAAACATGAATGCTTGACTAACTTAGATGGAGCTCCACCATTACACTGCATTATCCTGATCAAAAAGAGCATAGGTACTAAGAATAAAGCAATATGTAGTGAATAATACAAGTAGAATAATACAAGTAGAACAAAGGGACTGATTATTTTGATATGGTATAGGTAAAATGGGAATGATTGGCTAATTTATAAATTGTTATTCTGGATACCTGCATAAATCATATATGACTATCCATCCAGCTTTTAAAATTAATTAATTAATTCAGTAATACATTAATTTATTCAACAAAAGTTTATTGTACACCCACTATTGTCCTAGCATTGTGTTAGGTGCAGCAGGTAAACCAGTGACCAAGTTAAGTTTGCTTCTTGCCAAAATGGAAATTAAAGTTTTCTGGGTCTGAAACCCAAACTTAAAATTATAATTAATTGTGATAAGGCCTCTGTGAGAAAATGCCAGAAAGGATGTGCCCCATGAGTGGGGGTTCAAGGAAGGATTAAGAGAGCAAACAATCCCTTTTCAAGGATTTGTTAGAGTTTCAGCCTAATGAAAGGATGTAAGGGAGGGAGAAACAAAAATAGTCAGTATGTAGTTGGAATTAAGAAACGGAACCTTAAGAGCCGTGTCTATCTATCTATCTATCTATCTATCTATCTATCTATCTATCTATCTATCTATCTTTCAGAGCTGACATTTATTGGTGACAATGTACTTATTTTGTAATTTAATTGTTAAGATGATAATTCCCTGAATTCAGAAGACTCTTAGAGATAGGCAATTGCCGGCATGATCTAAAGAAAGACAGAAAAAAAAAAAAAAAAAAAAAAAAAGGGAAATAGTCCCATTTCATCGACTTTGCAATTAGTCTGAGGATTGCCTCAATTTCTGTAAGAATTAGTCACACAGATGAGGAATTATTTAATATATGGAGTTGTCACTTCCTTTGTTTCCATTATGAAAATCATTATGCATCAACTTTTGACCTGATCTCAAGTCTTTTACAAACTCTCCTTGCAAGTATCTCCTAAAATAAGGAAATACAGTACAGAGGGGCAGGAAGGGATGAAGAAGAGAATTGATGTAGTCTTCAGACCAGGCATGGAGTGCTTACCTTCAGAATTTGATGAAACTCATTTTCCAAAAGTTCTTTTAGCTCTGCTTTGTTCAGCTTGTCACACTCTCCGTCTTGGGCGGCGTATTGGTAGTAAAGTTCAATGATAGAAATGATGTTTTGTAGGAGTTGAGACATCTTTTTGCAAATTTACGTTAACCTAAAAGGGGTGTGGGGGGGAGATAGCTACCACCTATTAGTATTTTTTATTTCTTAAGATATATATATATATATAGTTCTAATAATTTATAAGAATTAGTCATACAAGACTAATTTCATTCTGTTGTAATCAAGAAGCCACCCATGGTTGAATGACTTAAGTCATGTAGCAACAGAGTGGTGAAGTTAGGAATCCGTATCTCCTATTTCCATTCCTGATTGAACGCAGGAGCAATGAATTTCAGTTTTGGAATCTCTGCTTATACTAGGAATCATTTTTTGAGCTTTGTTCCTAAGCCATTGAAATCCTGAGTGTGCCATCCCATTTAAGTTGTCCTTTCCCTCTAGTTCCCAATCATCACACCAGGGATCGGGAGTGGATGATCAGGGTAGTTATGGGTGGGGAGATAGGCCCAACATCTACATGTCGTGTCTGACTCCCAACTAAGGGGCACCAGTGGCCAAACAACCTCCAGGACTTCTAGGCCATAGAAAGTGGACAAAGTGGACAAAACCTAGGTGTTACGGAACTGGGGGCAGCCACTATCAGATTCAGGTTATGTTCCCATTTTTACAATGAGACTGGCTTTACAAGTTACACAGAAGACAGATGAGCAAGGCTCAATAGTGTGGGAAGCATCCTGTCATGATCTTTAAGGAAATGACCCCAAAGAAACGAGGTACTATAAATATTCTTAGTTCTTTTCATTTAACTTCTCAATAAAACTATACTTAGACCAAGATTCCCCACTGTATTTTAAAAAGAAGTCTGGTATTCAGAGCCCCTTTGCCTTATAGCACATCTCTAGATTTTTATCGTTGATACCTTAGGTACCCATGAGAGGAGCTCAACTCCTGCTTACTTACCTAATTCAGCAGAGGAACAAATTGGATAGAGACCTAAGCAGCATGCAGGGTGCTGATAGTTAGAGAGAGCAGCTTTTATATAGAGGGAAGAATGGTCCATTTTAGGGAGGTGCTGTTCTCTTTGCAATGCCCTGATTCATTTCCAAACAAGTCCAGCTCCACCTCCCTGGTGTTTACCTTCTTGCTCCTTTAGTTGTTCATCTGAGATTGCATTAGCAATTCCCAAATCTAGGCTAGTATCAACCCCACCTGCCAGAGTCTTAGGACACTTAGCAGAAAAGCCTCTTTGCGTATTAACTAATATATCTAATACAATGCATTGAAGATAAATTGCAAGTTTTAATTTGAAGGGAGCATGTTCTGGGATGCCAGGGCCCTCATCCCCAAATCTTGTTTTTGATTGTTTACAAGGAACCTTAAAGATCATCCAGTGAAACTCTCTTATTCCAAACTAGATTTTTAATCTAAGATTCCAATGAAGAAGCCGTTTTTGCTATTATTCTCTCTTGGGATGGATAATGAGAGGCCCTCCTTTCCATCTCTTTAGCTGACTCAATTTACCAAACTTTAGTGGCTATTCATCAATGTAATAGTTCTCCATTTAACCACTTGACAACCATAGGAAGAAATCCATGCTTGTTGTTAAGTGCCCTCGAGTCAATTCTGATCCATAACGACCCTGTATAGAGCTTCCAAGGAGCAGCTGGTGAGCTTGAACCTTGCAGTTCAAATGGATTTGCAGTCTGGCTCATTAACCCACAGCGCCACACCAGGACTCCATGCTTGTTAGAATTACATTCAGGGTACTTATGAATAGTGTCTCTTATACTGTTTCCTCTCTTCCTATTCCCCTTTATGGCTCATCAGTAATAAACTATTTAAACCTTTCTGAACATGCCATTGCTATTTCGTTCTTTTGTTTGGAATGCCTTGCCTTATAGTCTGCCTGATTTTGGTGGTGTGTTTTGGAATCAGTTTGTCTCATAGCGACCCTGCATAGGATTTCTAAGACTGTAAATCTTTATGGAGCAGATAGCCTCATCTTTCACCTGCAGAACTGCTGACTTTGAGCTTTGCGTCCTGACTGTAATCACTATTCTACCAGAGTTCCTTTATAGTCTGCCTAGTGAACTTCTATTTATTCTTCAAAACCCAGTTCACACTTCATATAAGAAATGTCTTGAATTACTCAAAAGACAGCTATAAGTGTGTATTTTATTAATAATTTTATCAGTAATGCTATATTGTAATATTAAAGTTTTTTTATGAAATTAATTTTTATTTCTTAAAATAAGAAAATACCGATTTGAAAAGGAAAGAAAATGAAAATACTTACAATTTCACTTACCAGAAGTAACTGCTACTTATTATTTGGTGTGTATTTTTTTCATATGCATATACACATAATCTATGAATGTATGTTGTTGTTGTTAAGTGGCATCGAGTTAGTTCCGACTCATAACGACCCTCTATAGGGTTCCTGAGGAAAAACTGGTGAGCTTGAACTGCCGACCTTTCCATTTAAACCGTCTCTTCAGTCCAACACATTAGCCTGCAGTACACACACACACACACACACACACACACACACACACACACACACGTATATGTGTTTGTCTATGTGGCTATATCATTTCTAGACTATGTGCTCCATAAAATAGGGATTGGTCACTTACTTGAGATCTAGCGTATTGTATGATTCATAAAGACACCTAATATACACTTGTCAGTTTGTATTGAATAAAAAGAAAACTGAGACTCATGGCTACAGTGATCTCCACTGACCAAGTCCCACCTTTCCCGAATAGGCCTAGGAACTGCACCTCTCTTGCCAGTTTCATCTACGAAGACACAATTTCACTGGATCTCAAATTTGGAAATCAATGACTGACTTTCTGCTTCTCCCTGAAGGCCTTGTTTTGTATTCCATCCATGAAGAACATATAAGAAATTTCACTGAAGGTGCTTGAAATTTCATAAACTCAAAACTTGTGTAATTTGGAATCAAGATTTGGAAGGAGTGGTAGTAATTATTGGCAAATGAGAAATTACATGATTCCCAAGTCAGTCATTATTAGGTTACGTGCTTTCTTCTAAGAGCTGCCTAGAGGGTTGAGAGTCAGCATCCACTCTTGAGTTCAGGTTTGCTCTGGATGCCTGATTTGGGCCAGCCATCGTGCTTCATAAGGGAAATGACCTTTATAAAGGTGTGATTGAGACCTGTGGGAGTGAAGGAGAGGTGGAATTTGCTGAGTGAGGGCTGATTTCCTGCAAGAACTTGCTGTTGCCAGAAGGCTGTGGGGAGGTTAGGAATGAAGAGTATTCCAGGTGAAAGTGCTTTTGGGATCAATGCTTTCCTAAACTGTTGTGATTGTTGTGTGCTAGTTGTGTGGATTCCAACTTAAAATAATCCCATATGGCAGTGTAGGAGCTGTGTTAGCGTAGTGGTTACAAGTCGGACTGCTAACCTCAAGGTCAGCAATTCAAAACTACCAACCATTCCATGGGAGAAAGATGAACCTTTCTGCTCCTGTAAAGATTTATAGCCTCGGAAACCCTATGCAGAGTCCCTATGAGTCGGAACTGACTCCATAGCACACCACCACCACCAAAGTCGGTTTGAATCGCAAGGTTGGTGGTTCAAGCTCACCAGTTGCTCCTTGGAAACCCTCTATAGGGTCACTATGGGTCGGAACTGACTCGAAGGCACTTAACAACAATGTTTGGTTAGTGGAGTTCTGGTGTGGTGCTGTGGGTTAATGCACCAGAATGTAAAGCCATTGAACTGCAAGTTTGGCGGTTCAAGCTCACTAGCTGTTCTTTGGATGCCCTATACAGGGTAGCTATGGGTCAGAAGCGATTCAACAGTACTTAACAACATGTTTGGTTAGTGGCTCACTGCTTAGACATGACAGCATTTAGCAGAAGAAATTTCTTGTAGCCTGTACTGTGTTCTAGGTTTTCTGAGTTTCTCTTAAGTGTTGGCAGAAGATAGGAAATGAATTTTCCCTTTGCTCTGTGCGTTCTATATTGTAATGGTGTTCAGTATTCATTAATCGTCACAATGACCTTGTGAAGTAGCTATCATTGCCTTTGTTTTGCCAATGAGAACACTGAGGCTCAGGGAAAACATGTCACTTTCTTCAAGTCACTTAGCCATTTGTATGAAGTGGAGAAGATGCAATTCAAACTCAAATTTGTTTCTTCATGGCAATGGTCAGGGAGTGAGCTTTTAGCCTCTTCATGTCTTGCAGAAGGCAGGGTTTGGGGAAGAGTTCTTGAGAAATGGACTTTTTGATCTTAAACAAAAGTCCTACAAATAAGATGAAACAAAACAAAATAGTAAAGTAAATTGGTGAGGAAGACAAACAGTGGCATTCTGATTGCATTTTGGCACTTAGCCTGTCTCCTTTTGGTGGAAGGCAGTGTGATGTGCTTCTTGCACCATCTGCTGGACCATAGGAGAGTCTACAGAATGTCTTTTCCTCCCTGCCCTCTTTTCCTCCTCTTTCCTCACCTCTCCCATACAACTTCTGGGAATTCTTTGTAGACTTTGTGTATATGAATGAAAAGTCTAAGTCAATACAGGGATATAATCTGAGAATGTTGATAGTCATGATTTGGGGGCCAGGGAAGTCAAAAGAAATTAACATAAAACTTGTCAGTAATGAATCTGTATTCTGTTTTTTGAGCCTTGGTTTGGTGTTATAGGGTAAGCACTGGACTGCTAATGGTAAGGTTTGCAGTTCAAACCCAACATCCACTTTTGGAAACCCTATACAGAATCACTATGAGTCAGAGCCAACTCAATAGCACTTAACAACAACAATAATCCACTGCCTCAGGTGCAAGTGTCCTTATCCCCCTTATCTCATGGATAAAAATCGGTTTGACAATTTACAGCTTAACATGTATATACCATAGAGTGGGGCTGGAAGGGCACTATAGCTTTTAGCCCTAGACGAAGGCCCTAGAATATCGGTTTTCCAATTTAGTTATTTCACTCTCCCCATGTAGTATGCTCGTTTCAAAATACCTCTGATGCTGGAAATTAAGAGCTCATTCTTTCTTGTATCCTCTCATTTATTAAATGTGTCAACATCTTTCTCCATTGTGTTTCCAGTTCCTTACCTTCCTTGTGATGTTCTTATTGGTGTGGATGATATGTTTCCTTCAATTCCTACCACCTTGAGGTGTCCAGCATGTAGACTTATTCCTTTAAAGCAGGCAGATGGAGGAGAATAACTTGAAGTGCTCCTTAAGGATCCTTCAAGTGTTACAGTGATGGTACAAAAGAGCTGCTAGCGCCAAAGATATCAGAGAGGACTTGAAACCTTCATGTACTGGGTAGGGATGGGGGTAGGAGCCATAGAAAAGTTGAGGCATAGAGAACTTGATACTTGGGAATGAGATCAAGAATTTTGTCTTTTTTTTAAATATTTTTTTTTGTATGTGTATGTGTGTGTGTGTGAGAGAGAGGGGGAAATTTAAATTTGAGTGTTGTTCTTGTTAAGTGCCATGGAGTTGTTTCTGACTCACAACAATCATGTATAGTATTTCCGAGGAACTGCTGGTGAGCTTGAACTGCAACATTTTGGTTCCAATTGATCTTGAGGTCCAGTGTTTATCTTAAAGCATCACACCAGTATTCAAATTTGAGTGAAATCAGTGTAAAACTGAACCAACTCTACCACACACTACTACATTTGTCTTCCTGATTACTTCAGGCAAGAAGAATTTTTATTTCTTTAGTTATCACAGATACACTTATAATTGGCAATTAAACTTTCTGTTATATCAGTTATTTACATATGTATCTGATCTTTGTCATACAAGCTCCCTGCTGTCAGAGGCTACATCTGCTTTATCGTCTTATCCCCAGCAATGTTTATCACATTATTTATTCCAACATATAGTCCTTGGAACTTGACACATTTTTTTTTTAAGAGAATGGCTTTACATTAATTTATATGGATGTTTACATTGTTAAATCTAAAAATTTAAGAAAAATTCAGGAAAATGCTAAAAAAACAAACAGATTAAATAAACACAAAGTTTCAAACAACACAAAACATGCAATTAGAATCCTGAAGATTTGTACTAAGATTTCAGAAATGGACAATACATTGAAAGGGCAAGGAGAAAATGCAAAACAATTAAGCCCAGATTAGAGGGCTTGAAGATAAATCTGTCAATACTAGCATGTTAGAAGAACAATCAGAAAAAAGAGTGAAGAAATCTGTATAAAGACTCAGTTATATGGGATACCATGAAGGGGGACAATTTGTGGGTGACTGGGATTCCTGAAGAGACAATGAAAAACACAGGGCAAATTTCAAAGAATTGTTGTAAGAAAATTTCTGTAACATCATGAGAGGAGAGAAGATAAGCATACAAGAAGCTGAACGAATCCCAAACAGGATAGACACCCTAAAGAAAATCACCCAAACATATATCATAATCAGACTTTCCAAAATCAAAGTAAGAGAAGAATGCTGAGAGCAGCTTAAGAAAAATGAAAAGCAACCAACCTACAGAGAAGAACCGATAAGACTTAGCTCTGATTTCTCAGAAGAAACAATGCAGGCGAGAAGGCAATGGTTAATTTCTATATTCTCAATTCTGTTCCATTGATCTATGTATCTTTCATTGTATCAGTACCAGGCTGTTTTGACCACTGTAGCTATGCAGTACATTTTGAAATCAGAGAGCGAGAAGCCTCCAACTTTGTTCTTCTTCTTAAGCAGTGATTGTTTTATCCTGGGTCTCTTTCCTTTTCAAATAAAGTTTGTAATTGTTTTTTCCATCTCTCTAAAAAATGTCGTTGGAATCTGGATTGGGATTGTGTTATATGTGTCGATTGCTTTGGGTAGTATTGACATTTTCACAATGTTAACTCTTCCTATCCAGGAGCATGGTCTATTCTTCCATTTTTGTAAGTCTTTTTTAGTTTCTTGTAGTAGTGGTTTGTCATTTTGTTTGTATAGGTCCTTTGTTTCTCTGGTTA